TGAAGGTGCACTTTCCTTAAGGAAGCTGCTACTCATTATCAACAATAACTCTTATAACATCTTCCCTCCTTGTTAGAGGTTAGTAGTACAGTGATAAAAATAGGTGCCCAGTAACGGTTAGATCACCACAGGGCAAAGCCTAAAGAGGTCAGGAAGCATCCTGTGAAATGCAGGACAGAAACCATCTCCTGATTAGAGGTAACCTACATTTTGGGGGTTGCTTATCCAACATGAGGTGGTTAGGAAAGATAAGAGCCATTAGAAATCTGGAGAGGAGAGCTTCCCRTAGAGAAGGTGATTAAATATAGCCTTTGTGTTTGGGTAGGAGAGGAGGAGATGGCCTGAAAGACACCATATATAATATAATGAATAATTGAAGCCTGTCATTTCACTTTGTCTTGTGCTACATGGACAAATGGGCTCCTCTGCAGGATTCCAAGATAGCAGCCTGGAAACTCAGGGCTAAAATAGGACTTGGGGCCCAAGAACAGATCAGTCAACTACTAGGGTCAGTCCAGGATGAGTTGCTGAGCTATGCAAGGAAATGGCTCGCTTRATTCCTGCCACTTTTCCTCCCCAGATCCTGTCACATATCCCTGGAAGAATACAAGGGGTGGACTAGTTCCTCACCATTCATCACTCCCACTGCTTCGCAGGCTGAACTTCTCCATGGGGTTGACAACAAACAGCTTGTCTCCATCTGTGACCTCTGGAATCRGGACCTTATAAAGAGGATGCTCGAAGAGAGCAGCCAGTTTGGATCCCTTGCTCCCCACGGGATTCGCGTCTCCGTGTTTCTGGTGGATCTCCCAGTCTCCATCCTTCGCTTGAGGCCCCGCTCCCTGCGCGTGAGAGCTTTTCTCCAAGGAGCCGTTGCTGCCGCTGAAATCCTGAAGGATCCGCAGGCTCAGCTTTTGGGGACCAGCCACCCGCGGGCTGCCGGCTGGGACACCCACAGCCTTGGCTGGATTTTGAGCACAGCTGCAGGGCCTGCGAGCAGAAGGGAGAGCCAAATCCATTACCAGGTGGATCAGGAAGGCCAAGACCAAGAGAATGAGGAGGCCAATTTTAAACTTCCTCTGGAAAAGCGTCTGTAGCTGGCGCCGCATCCTTCCTTTCCTGAGACACCCGGCAAGGGCCAGGCACCAAGGAGTGGCTAAAAGAGAGCCAGTACACGTGCAGAATTGTCTCTGCTCCAAACAAAAGGAGAAAAGGGGTGTCCTCGATTCAGACCATAGCGGCAAAACCCGACCGAAGCAAGAGGTCCAGCAGGCAGAATCGCAGGAAGGAAAAAAACCTGTCTCCGCGGTGCCTTTTGGAGAGACACTGCAGGGCTGGCAGCAGGACAGGAGGCTGCAGCGGGGTTTATCGGTGCTGATAAGGGGCAAGCTGCGGTGCCAAGGTTGGAGTGAACGGGGCAAGTTCCAAATCAATAGGGGCGGGTGGCTTGGTGACAGGGATGGCCGCAGACCACCCATGTGCTGGAGCCCCGGCACCCCTGCGCTGTGCTCGTCTCCACCACGTTTCTGGTGCTCAGGCGTAGCCCAGGAGAGACTTTCGCTCCCACCGCTCGGCCCGGCTGATGCTGCCATCCCCTCTGGCTAGGCAGGGTTGCTTTGCAGCCTCCTTTTTTAATGCAGCTCGGAGCCAGGCTCCTCTAGGGACCTYCGCAGTGGGCAAGAGAAGGCGCCAGGGCCCCGAGCGCAGCCTTGGGGGTACTGGAGATCCCAGCTCCATCCCACCAGCCAGAGCCAATGCTGCAGACATTGGGGCAGGGCTGCCAGGATGGACACGGGCCCCAGGAAGGCTGGTGTGAAGCCTTCACCCCCTACCTGCCACTGAAGCTGCTGAGTTTTCCATGGTTAGGAGTGGGAAAAGCAGGAGTCAGGAGCAGGAAAGCAAGCAGAGCCATATCTACACCTCAAATAGGGCTGCTGGGGAGGACTGGCAGCCTTTGGAAAGGAACCTTAGCCTATTTTTACAGGAAATTCACCTTTCCCGTGAGATACAGGGATCCGGAGAGCTGTGTGTCCCAAGCAAAAACAGTAGGTGATGAGGAAGGAAGCTTCACATTTGCTAAGGGGCGAAGGGTCAACGCAACAAGCACCGGGCTCGGCCAGCCCCGCGGGACCCCGGACACCAAGTTGGAAGCGACATTTTTCTCTTCTCAGTTCCTCCGGGAACAGAGGCCGCCGGAGGGATGAGAAATCCCGCAATCCGTGCGGCACATGGGGAGGCCCGCAGGGAAGGGGTAGGAGGCCGGGCTGGGTGGAGGCCCCCTCCTCCGCGGTGCGCTCCCGTGGAGGCCGCGCGATCCGCTCCGTGCTGCTCCGTGCGGTGCCGGCCGCCTCCCACGCTGCACAGGACGGCGGGAACGCCGCGTTCCCGGCCCGCCATGTCCCACCGTGCGGCTGTTGCCTGGTAACCGCCTCCGGCTGGCACGGCGGCCGCCCCGCGTTCCGCCGGCGCCGCTGTCGCCTTCCCCGCGCGGYGCGCGAGCAACACGCCAAGCGCGCGCCCCGCTCCGAGGTAAACACGGCCCTCGCCGGCTGCCRGAGCTGCCTGGAGGAGGGCGGCTTTCCAGCCCTGCAGATGGAGCCCGTGGGAGCAGATGGCGCCCACAGGGGAGGGAACAYGGCCTCTTCCATGAGCAGAGCAGGCTGGCTGCGTTCAGTCCGGATGCACTTTGCCGAAAGGCAGGGGCTGGAACGCAGAGCTGTTAGGTCATTGCCCAGGGAAACGTGTGCGAGTCGTTTGTGTCGAAGGAGCTGGGCTCGGCGCCGGGAGCAGCACCACGGATTCCCTGATTCTGGAGCCAGCTCGGGGACAGACAGGGGGAGAGGGAGACCTCCCTCCTTCCAGAGCCCGGGCACTGGCTCCAGAGCGGAGGGGACAGGCAGCTCTCCCGAACCCCCAGCATTATCTGCACGGGGGCCACCCTTCTGACACCCATCCCCACGCAAAGGGGTTTTATAAACCCCCCAGCACCGATCCAGCATCACAGGGGAAAGCAGAGGAAGAGGGAATAGGTGCCACCTTCATCGCTTCAATGTCAGCATTAAAGATTAACCATGGGATTTTTCAGTGAGTGGGGTGCGGGCTGGCAGCGACAGGAAGGCGATGGGGAGCTTCCAAGCCAGCCCTGGCTGCCACGGCTTCGTTGTAGAGAAACGCTTGGGTTTTCACCTCTTTCTCTCCAGCTTCCTCTATCTTTCCAGCTCCTTTTCCCCTTTCACGGCAGTTGGAGTCGCCTTTGGGATGCAGCAGGAKCCGCGTTTCGGAGGACGTCTCCAGTCTGGTGCTTTGATGAGTAATGGCAGCAAGATGCAGATGGCACAAAAAAAATATATAGTAATAAGGGGAAAAATATAAAAGGCAGGACACCTGTTCCCACCTCCCCCAGCTTTCTGCTGGCAACAGGCGAGGCGCAGACCTCTAGCACGCCGCGGGACACGCTGCCCTCCTGGCTGCTTCCCACAGCAGTAGCTGCGCAGGGGCCAGGGCAGGAGCGGGCACTGCCCCTGACCTGAGCAGCACATCTCACCGCGAGCTGCAAAGAGCCCTCAAGTCTGCGGGTTCCAGCACCAGGAAAGGGGGAGCGCCGCTGTGGGCAACGCGGGGAGGCCAGCGCGGCCCGAGGCCACGTGCAGAGGGCAGGAGCGCGGCCCTTGGAGCGCCTGCCTGAGCGCACGGGGCCCTCGCGTGCAGGGCTCCGGTTGGGCAAACGCAGGCTTACGCGTTCACCGTTGAGCACAAGTGGCAGGGCAGGATGGACGTACAAACSAGCCGGCTCTTCCGTGCTAACATTTTGGGGGAACGCTATTGCCCCTGGAAATACAGATAGCCTATGGTGCTCCTATAAGCCTCCTTACCCCCGAGGAGTTCCAGAGCCGCCTTGCAAACGAGCAGAGGTGTGAATCTGCAGCGGCTGCCTACTTGGACAAAGCTGACACCCCGCCAGCGTTTCCCCGTGGCAGACACAGGTCACAGAGACATTCGCTTTGCCCAGCTGGCAGCCAAAGAGATAAGAGGCCGGCCAAGAGATTGCGCGCTGAGGTAAGCGGCTCCCTCTGCACCATCCCCTGCGGGTCAGCACGACCCTGCCGAGACGCCCAGCAAGCCCGGGCACCCGCACGCTGCAGTTAATTATTCATTAGTGTGCAGGAAGCGGGACGCAGCAGGCCGTGGGGTGCTCCGGGGCAGGGCATTGCGGAGACACTGGCTCTAGCTATCCCTCCGGACCTAAAACACAGAGGAGATGGCAAGTGTTAGGACAGCAAACTGGTCGCTCCCCCTGCCAGCTGCAGAAAGCGCTGGTCAGCGGTGCTGCCTTCCACTAAGGGCAGCCAGTTGGAGTGACCGACAGAGGATACACCAAGAGCTACAGGGGAAAAAGAGGTCACAGAATTTGCAGACTTGTACAATACACAATGAGGCCGGCACCAGGGGCAGATATCCCRGTTCCGGATACATCACAACAGCAGTTGGGGCATCCTCCCTCCCTTGCAAACAGGCCGAGGGATGTGTGGGCAGGGGACCTTGGCGAGCAGCACTGCTGACCTGGAAAGTGTCCTGGGCATCGTGGCTTGGCTGGTGCGTGGAGCTGCATGGGGAGCATGGAAGTGTCCCTTGCTTCCCAGAACTGCCCAGGAAGCAGCATGTGGGGCGAGAGGCTGTCGTGCCCCAAGCCACAGCCACCGCTGACTCGCTCCRGTGCTCCCTGGACAAACCGCCTTCTCCCTTTCTCTCTGCGCCTCCCGCTTCGTTTCATTTTAGCATATGACACACACACAAAAAGGGCATTTTACTATTTTTTTATTGTAAAATCCACAGCTCCCCGGGTTTATATAAATATGTCATATACGCAAAATACACTTACGTTCACKCCATCCCCCAACACTGACAGGTTTCTTAAGAAAAAAAATCAACCAGGCTAAACGAACGCCAGCCCAAGAAGACGTGAAGCCTCCGATGACCAAGCGCCATCTCACACGACACCCCCAAACGCTGTCAGGCAACGAAGCCTTACGCAGAGCTGCCACCCACTCCGCAGGCAGCACCAGCTGCGCGTGTGTCAGCGCGCTGGGTGGGAAGAGAGGGGGCCGTTTGCCCAGCGCCCCGCTCCGCCCAGGGGGCTCAGGCTAACGCCGCCAGSGCCAGGATGGTGCCCGAGCCAGGCAGCTCTGCGTGGTCGTGCGGGAGGACAGCGCGCAGAGGAGGAGCAGACGCTGGTCAGAGCCAGGGAAGAGGGAACGCAACGTGGAGCAAGCGGGAGGAGAGGCGCGGCCTGGGGAGGACCTTGTCACTTGCCTCCCGCTCCTGGCTGYGTCCTGCCTCAGGTGCTCCCTGCTCCCTGCCTCTGCCCACGAAGGGAAGRGGAGCCAGAGGAGTCGCTCCCGGGAGGGCCGGCCCCGCTCAGCACACGCGCGCACACGCTCGCCCGCCAACAAGCYGTATCCCACGCGACTGGTACATCAGTAGGAAAAGGACAAATCTCAAAAGTTTGACTATTAAAAATAAAGCCCCGCTCCAGATTGTACAAAACCTGTGAAGAGAAAGGAAGAAGCTCCTGTGGGCAGCGAGTCTGGGGCCCGGCCAGCTGTCATGAGCACTTCCAAACACACACGGCCAGGCTGCCGCCAAAGAACATGTAGAGCAGATTCTTCACCTCGTGAGTGATCTCAAAGCCAAAACCTTCCCCAATCACCACATGCCAGGAGGAGCCAAATTTCTTGTCCATCATCTCTTTGATCATCTTGGCAGCACTCTGAAGAATAATAATAGAGAGAGTGTAGGCTGAGGCAGAGCAGGCAGCGAGCTTTTATGCACAAATCCCCCAACTCGTCTCCCTTCCGGGGGCCAGGCAGCAGGCACGGCAGCTGAGCTGCAYGAGCTGAAAGCTCCCAGAGCTGCACTGAAGGCTACCCGGGCTGCTGGTGGCTCAGCAGCCTCCAAAACAGCGAGCAAGGGCAAGGAAAGCTCTACATGTAGTTATCACTTCTCATTTACTCCAGTCTGAAGCAAGGGCTCTCTCTTTGCTGGTGATGGAGCTATGCTGGGTGCAGCAGGATGGGTGTGAGGAGATTCAGGTCACTAAGCTGCAGCTATTTTTACAGGAACTGGTGTCCTGTAAAACTGTTCCAGCTAGTCACCAAAACACTGAAACTAGGCTGGCTTTATAARGCCTGCTTCCCCCAGACTGTGTCCTGCCCGAGCTAGAGAAGGAGGGAGGAAGGTTTGGCAGTGACATACGGTCCTCGGCCAGGGTGGGAAAGAGGAGTAGATCCTAACTTTGTAGCTTTGCCTTGTTCCAGCACAAAGCTCTGCTGGCAGCAAGTAGGCTGTGCCTTGCCCCAGGAGCAAGTTGTGTGTGTGCCCTTATCTTTCGTTCCCAGAATTACAGGTAATCTTTCAAAATGTTGTAACTTCCGCACCGCCTCCCATTTACATATTCTCAGCAACTTCACTCCATGGGCTGGAAGCTGCGAGCGAAGACCTAACAGCCAGCTAAGCTCAAAGACTTCAGTTTGCTCACCCCCAAAACAAAGAGTTTCTTTCCCACTCGGTTGAAGACGGCCCTGCTGAACCCTGAGGAACGGCCCCACGCTCTGGAAAGGGCCCCTTCTCGGGCAGCCCTGCACCTCAGGACAGAGGGCATTTACAGACCACAGAAGCACGTCACAGGTCAGGCAGGACCAGGAGGCAGGACAGTTTGCGAGGGAGCACTGCTGAGCGACTAACCTCCCCTCTGCGCTAAAGCAACGCGCTCTGACGGATCTTGCCGACAAAGGGAACCAAGGGAGACTCCAGYGAAGCCGCCCTTGCCTTCCCGCGCCCTGCTCGGCGCAGACACAGCGGCAGGACGACAGTGTCTGCTGCCCCCGCCCGCCCCCGGCTCTGCCCCGAGCACTGCCCCAGCTGCAGGCCGGCCGCGCCGGGCCCGGCCACTACCTCGTTGTTGGTGGCGTATTTCTCACAGGCCGTGACACACAGCTCCATGGCTTCCACGCGCATCTCCTCCGGCATGTCCGTGTGCTGCAAAGGGCAAACGGGCAGAAGGGCTTAGGCAGGAAGAGAAACAAATATGAGACACAGCAGCTCATGCATCACCCGTGCTATAGCTGGGCGCTGTGGGCACAGGGAAACCAGCCTCTGTGACTCCTGTCTTGCCTTCAGAGAGAAGTGTTGCTGGTGCCCYGGGCCTGCCAGCGCACGGAGCAGCTCCACCGTGTCGGAGAGCAGCAATTCCCAGCATGGATTTTCACCCTGCCATTTCTCCTTTCGGCCCTTGTCCCAGCTGAGCTGCTCTCTACCCAACACCAATGCTAGCATCAAGTAAGCACAGCTTGGAGGAAGAGATGGAGGCATCTGTTAGTTCGCTGTTAYAAGGAATGAGTGTTAACACTGCTCCAACCATTGTCCTTAATTATTACCGTAAGCATAACAAGGAAGTCTAAATTACACAGCCTCTCCCTCCTTTTCTGCTATCTGACAGGCCAGCAAAATGTTCTCCCTCGGCTCCTCTAGAAAAACAAGCTGCATTTGARCACAGAGGAGGCCTCCAAAGGCAGCACGCTCAGAAGAAGCTGGATCACAGAGGAGCTACTTTGCCCTGGGYTTCTTCTGGCTGACAGGAGGAACAGGAGCACTGCTAACTTGGCTTGGCAGCAGCCAAAGGCTGGGAGGGAGCAGGGTGATGCCCGGGATCCCTACACAAGCCCACGAGCACACGCTTCTGTTCTCACAGCAGCTTGCGGTGGGAGGCACTGCCGCCTGGCAGCTTGCTGGGAGGCAAGGAGCATGTCGTCCTTGGTGCCTGCACTTCAACACGGCCAAGCCCGCAGCCCCAGTCCTCACCCGGATCAGCGGGAAGCTGTGGAGTCGCTTGTAATCCGCCTCCTCCTTTTTGCCCTCCGCGGTGTCCGCCATGCTCGGCGCGCGGCGGCCGCGGGCACGCCCGGCACCGCGCGGCTCAAAGGGACGCCAGGGAGGGAACGGAGAATCCGAACTGCAACGAAAGGCAGGTCACGTCGCGGCACGAAGGCTGTGCCTGCCATCGCCGCGTATTACGGCCGCGCTGCATCTTTCCCACGCGCCAGGCACTTAGCGAGGCATCGGACTGAATATTAAAGCGGGCAAGCTTTACAAACGCGTCATTTTCCACAAATGAGGCTTCAGGAGCACAGCGCTTCCCAGCAGTACCGATCCAACAGGCGGGAAGAGCCAAGGCAGGATGCTGCTTCCCACAGGCCACGAGAGAATGCCATATCAATTCCCAGTTCCCATACGAACCACYGTTCGGCACCCAATTCCAACAGGATTTTCCCAGCACACACCACTATCTGCAAGGGYTTGCATGGGTGCTGGACGAACCAARGGGCGAGCRCACGCCAGGAACACGACTGGTGAACAGGGTGCACGCCACTGTTGCACATGAGTGTCTCGGCCTGTTTCGGGGCGCCTCCTCCCTGCCTCCCCGCTGCGTGCGCCGGGCAGGATCCATAGGGACGGGGCTGGAGCGCTGCTCCGGGCCCCGGCCTGGGCGATGCAGGTGATGCTGACCCGCAGGCAGGTTCGCACCGCCTCACCGCGGCCTTCTGCCGGCTTCTCGCCCAGGGCGAAGCGCCTCGCTCGGCTAGCCAGGGGAGACAAGGGAGCTCCCACGTTACAGGAGCGGGGAAACAGAGAAGGACTCGCTGCGCGGGCGCTCGCACGGAGCGGGCAGAGCCACCGGCGGCCACGAGGCCCAGGGGCCGCCCGGCCCGGCCCGGCCCGCCCGAGCCCCCGCGGCCCCGGCC